ACGAGCGACACTAGAGGGCATGAGCTGCAAGACAACAAATGCCCTCATCTGCCACCACTGAAAAGCTCAAGTGTTTATTACAGGGCCAACGAGCTTTTCTCAGTCTATCAGTAAAAGAGAAGGAAAGCAGACGTGAAGAGTATCCCCGGCTGGCAGGATGAGTGCCAGGGTGCCAAGTCTCAGCACAGCCAACTGAGGAACAAGTTTCTGAAGTTAATTCCCAAGTGCAAAGCTAATCCACCCCTGGCAAGAACAGGACATTTATTTGCTTCACTGCTGTAGCCTCATTAAGACTTTTCCACATTTACAAGGCACGTTTTTCTAAGTTTGCATGGGAGGAAATGTGTCACCCTATGTAAGGCAAACACAGGCTGAAGACACACTATGCCCTCCCTTCGGGTGCTGTTGAAAATCTACACAGAGGAGAATGACCTGCAAGCTGCCCATCAACCCAACACAGACCAGGGTGGTCCTGTGGGTTATAAAAATGCAGTTTATCCCGTTATCAAACTCAGCTGCACAACAGTGCAGGGGGAGGAAGAGTCAGGAAACCCACACTCCATTCATGGCAGTTGCTTTCTTGATGTGGTTTGTTCCACCTCAATTCCCTGATGACTGGGGGAGAACTCCACCATCTTCTTCATCTGCTCTCCCACCGGGGAGCCCATAACTGGGGCAAATGTTGGCAAATCCAGCAAGTCATGTCACACACATGTGTGCTGACACACAGGTTAGCAGCTGCAGCTCTGCCTGCAGGGCAGGATCACAGAAACACAGAATGGTTTGGGTTGGAAGGGACCTTAGAGATCATCTAATTCCAACCCCTGCCATAGGCAGGGCCACCTTCCACTAGACCAGGTTGCTCCAAGCCCCGTCCAACCTGGCTTTGGACACTGCCAGGGATGGGGCAGCCACAGCTTCTCTGGGCAACCTGTGCCAGGGCCTCACCACCCTCATAGCCAAGAATTTCTTCCCAATATCCCATCTAACCCTGCCCTCTGGCAGTGTGAGCCTGGTCTGGGGTGCATGGAAGGAAGAACCCTGATTTACTCCTTCTCTTCAGCTCTAGGACAAGATAGAGATTTTTCTCTTTCAGGACAAGGAGGTTGTATAGGTGAGCACTTCTCCTCCACTGCCCTGTTTGCTCTCCTTCTCTCTCTCCTTGCAAACACCACCAGTTTTGTGGCACAGGTTCCCATGGGAAGGGTGCATGCCTGAGCACCCAGCATCCTTCCCATTTGTGCAGGAGCAGAAGGGTGGCTCCAGACTGGCAAACAGCTTTGCTGGTCCTCTCAGTTCCCTCACCGGGGAATCCAGGCACCACAGCGACACTGAAACACCAAAGAGTTTGCAACATCCCTCCTGTACAAACACGGTCCCAACACCTGGGATTCCTGCTCTGCAGGATATTTCCTAGCAAGGTCTCTCCCTGTATCTATCCATCACTGCCCCGTCACTTTATGGTCCAAATGGGACCAGTGTATCTGCTCTCCCCCTTCTCAGCTTATCTAACAACAGACCCTTCTTTGCCTCTGAATTCCAAGAGGATGGAAAATACAGGGCCAAAGCTATGCTGTGCTTCCACTTGACAACCAAATCCTGCCATGCCATTGGATCATACTCAGGTGGAATCATTTACCTCAGGGGCAGGGAAGGAGCCGGGGCCCCCACAGAGGAAGCTGTTGGCACCTTTGAAAGTCAGCTGCTTTCCTGTGTCCTTTCAGAGTTCCCAGGTCCTGTGTCCACTGCAAAGACGTTGTGTAATCCCAAAGTTTTGCAACCATCACCTGACCCGGCTGCAGAGTCGGGATTCCGGGTTTCACCCCATCCCACCGCGCCAGAGCAGCTCCGGCCTCCTGCCCACCTGCACTCCCAAGCCCAGCCAAGGCTGCCTTTGCTCCTGGCACACTAAAGCTTGGTTTAAAGTGGCAGCTCAAGCTCTGCAGGGCAGGCTGAGAAAGCAGTGACGGAGATGAAGTGGATGGGAAGGAGCACATGATCACAGAATCCCAGAATGGTTTGCGTTGGAAGGGACATTAAAGCTCATCTCGTTCCACCCCCTGCCATGGGCAGGGACACCTTCTATTAGATCAGGTTGCTCCAAGCCCTGTCCAACCTGGCCTTGAACACTTCCAGGGATGGGGCAGCCACAACTTCCCTGGGCAAACTTCCGTCTTTTTGAGTGAGTCCATATCCTCAGATTGCTCCAGACCCAGATTTATCACTTAGGATGCTGGTCCCACTCTGGGATCACCATTACTGTGGTAAATCCAATGTGACTCCCTCAGAGCACTCCAGACTTGCCCTGTAAATGCTGGAGAGCTCCAGCAACATCTCCTCAAGCCTTGGCCGATCCCTGCCAGAGCTGGAGATGAACCATTCCTGAACCAAATCCCAAAGCCTGCATCTAGGTCGAGTCAAAGTCAAGGACAGCACAAAGCAAACTGTCACATGACCTTCCCCACCCATATTTAAGCCCTGTGCCAGGACAGTGTTACACCTAATTATGCCACAACACCAGAAGGAAGTATCTCGGGCAAGATCACCACGTTATTCCTCTGGGAAAGTCTTTTCCCCATTTTGGCACCAGGAGCTGGCAGTGCCTTTGCAGGGACAGGTCTGGGAAGGCTGTGCCCTGCAGGGTGTTGCTGGATTAAGCCCCCGCCCAGACAAACGCCTTCAAGCAAGAGGGAGAATTTAAAACTCATAACAACAGTAAAACCTAAACAAACAGTAAGGATTTGAGGGCTTTGCTTTGGAATGAAAGATTAATAGATGTATCGATTGAGTCGAGGGGCTGGGACAAAGGCTGAGAGCTGTGTTTATTTTTTTGCATCTATCTGTGGACTTGCCGTGCTCGTGTCCGAGCACATTATTGCGTTAAGGAAGTTTATGAACTCGCACGTGAAGTGTGGTTGGGTCACCTCCAGCTCAGCCCACCATGTTACCTGAACATGGTGCCACCAAAATACATCTGCAGGAGTTACAATAGCTTTACACGTAGGATTAAACTACAGCTAGCAGGGGATACTGAGGCCAAGGAAGCGGCAGAGGTGGAGTAGGGATGTGCTCTTCAAGTAAAAGTGTAGGGTCAGGCAAAGTGTAGGGATTGGCAGATCCACAGGTGCTCCTGTCCCAGTGCTGCTGCACACACGTAATTTTGGGAGAATTTAGGAACAACCACAGCAGTGCAGCAGCTCAGGCACTGCTGAGTAATTCGGCCTTGTGCCAAAACTTGGGGACCCCGTTGGGCAAGAGGTGGATCATTGCTTCTGCTGAGAGTTAAGTCTGAGCACAGAAAGGCTCAGAGAAACTCCAGGGGGTTTTTGGAAAGAGTCCTTCAAGACCTAATACATCTTGCAGAGCTCCAGCCACTGTCAGTGATTAACCTGCTACACCCACCAGACCTCCCTGCTTCCAGATCCTGACGTGAGGAACCAGATCCCATCTGAAGGCATCTCTTCCCACTGTCTCCCTGGTGTGCAAAGCCTCCAAAATGCCAGGCATGCAAAAACCACCCGGAAACTCCCCTCAAAAAATAATCCTTGGAGAGGTTGAACAGACCAACTGCAAACACAGTCATGGTACTTTTCACCCTGCATCCTCCTTAAGCCTTTTCCCACGTGGCTCGTTCTCCCTGACACAGCTCCGCAGCGCAGGGACCCTGCTCTTGGGGAAGCTGAACATCACCCAATCCCACAGCAGCAGGAGATGGGGATGGGATGGGCAGGATGTTCTGAGTCCCCAGAGAAGCTGAGACCCCTCTGCTAAATCCCCACATGCCTGCAAGGATGGACACCGGAGAGGCAGGGACCAGGGTGCTACAGCAGTAAACCCAGAGCTGCCTTTCGTGTCGCTGTCGATTTGAAACACCGCTTTAAAAAAAGGCAACTATTACAGGAGAGGGAAAAACCCAGAAGCCTTAAGTGACCATTTTAAAGCTTTCAGCTCTTTAATTGTGGCTTTCCACATGCTGATGGAGAAACCAGCGTTCTCGCCACAAGAAGCCTCTTCCTGAAATGCTCTCTGATATCCAGGGAGATGCCGATAGAGCATCTTGGAGAGAGACCTTCTGAACATCCCAAAGGGAAGGAGGATGTCCCAGCCCTGAAGGTGAGGTGGTGGCAGTCACCCAAGTGAGAGTGAGGAAGGTGTGACAGCTCTCCAGAGGGAGCGGTGGTCAGTGGAGCTCCTGAATCCTGCTGAGAGGATGCTTTGCTCCTCCTCTCCCAAGGATGGCTCTTTAAAAAACAGTTAGGGCTGTGCTACATCCTCACACAAAACCAGTGATAAATCTCCAGTCATGGTGCTCTGCAGCGTGTCGGAGTGTCTGAGCCTTGGGCTGGGCTCTGCACCATCCATCAAAGCCTGCCAAGGTCTCCATGGGGGAAGAGCTACCCAACTCTTCTGGAAAACACTGAGAATCATCCACCTAAACCCCTCAATCACCACCAGCTTCACACCTCTTTGTGCTGCAGATCCAAGTGAGTGCTTTCACATACCCTGAAGATGGCAGATTTCAGCCCTGCTTCCAAAAATTATGCCTGCTCTCGTGGTCCCAATCCCATTTCCTCCCAGTTGAGTCCCCAGTGCACTTTTGGACTTGCCTGCAGTCCCCCAACTCGCTTTTGGACATGAAGCATCAGCTCTCCGCTTGCTTTAGGAACTCTTGAAACGTGAACTGCAAATCTACACAGAGCTACATGAAATATAAGGGGCTCCCTTCAATAACACACATTTTTTGCTCTTACAGCTTGGCTGTTTTTCCCTCCTCTCCATCTCCCGAGCCTTTAAAATCCCACAGGACTAGAGAGAGGAAAAAAAAAACCAAACAACAAGGCAAGCAGGAAATAAAAAAGCAGGTGAGGAAACGGAAAAAAGGAAAAAAAAAAAAGAGGAGTTCTTTCTATGGCCCAGATGAATTTAGCCCCCCAGCTGACCACGGCAAAGCAGCAATTCCTAGTGGGATGGTGGTGGGGTGGGGGGAGGTGGGTACTCACTGGTGCTTGTGCTAGTGCCGATGGTGTTGATGGTGGTGGGGACGGAGGAGGAGGAGTAGAGGGGCAGGTGGCCGTTCTCGCACGCCAGGTTTTTGTCCTGCCAGCTGGAAGCGCTGACGCTTATCCCCGAGTCCCGAGAGTTCTGCCACCCGTTGAGTTTGTCGTCGGAGTTCTGTCTTTGGTGATAGTAGTGAGCCTGCCCGTAGTCCACCGAGTCCGAGCGGCCCCGGCCCTGCCCGCCGAAGCCCCCCGACGTGCGGTCCTCCAGGTGGTTGAGCCACATGGCCAGGGCGCTCCTGTCCTCCAGGGAGGTGGCGGGGTGGATCAGGGCGTAGGACAGCAGCTGCCTGCTCTCCTCGATGTGCTGGTTGTGCTCGATCGAGTGCGCCAGGATTTTGGGCAGGAGTTTCATGTACTCGACCTTCGCCTCGATGTTGCCGGGCTTCAGTAAAGGCAGGTGGGTTAGCAAGAGGGAAATCACTTTATCCTTGGATTCCTGTTGCCACTGGTTGATGATTCCTGTCGGAGGAATGAGGGGGGAGAAAAAAAAAAAAGGAGATAATTGAGAGATTGGCAAACGGAGCTAATTAAGATA